TTTGCAGATGTGATTAGGTAAGGACGTGAGAGGAGGAGTTTATCCTGGTGATCCCAGTGGCCCCATCTAGTCACAAGTGTTCTTATAAGTGACAGAGGAAAGCAGGAGGGTCAGAGAAGGAGGGACTCAATTGCTGGCTGGGGGGCCACAGCCAAAGAAGGGGAGCATTCTAGAAGAAGCTTTTAGGAACTGAAAAAAGCAAGAAACAGATTCCTGCCCTGGCCAGTTTGCTTAGTGGTTAGAGCATCGACCCATGCGTGGAAGGGTTGCAGGTTCAATTCCTGGTTGAGGGCAAGTATCAGGGTTGCAGTTTGCACCCCGCCCCCAGTGGGGGCATGTGCAGGAGGCAACCAATCAATGAATCTCTCTCACATCAATGTTTCTCTTTCTCTCTTTCCCCCCTCCTCCCTCCTTTCCACTCTTCTCTCTCTCTCTCTCTGAAAAGCAATGGTAAAAATATCCTTGAGTGAGAATCAATAAACAAAACAAAAAAAGAAAAAATAAATAGATTCCTCCCCTACAGCCCTCACAGCTCTGCTGACACCTAGATTTCAGACCCATTTGGACTCCTGATCTAGAACCATAAACTAATAAATATGCATTGTTTTAAGTCACTAAGGTCATGGTGATTTGTTATAATGAAAGGCAACTCCTAAAGACACCTGAGAAACTGTGCCTGGACCAGAATGTTCTGCGACCAAGCCCTGTGAGGTGGAGAGGCCAGGCTGACGGGGAGGACTAAGTTCATGCCCCGGACCTGTGAATGTGTCACCCTGCACGGCAACAGGGATTTTGCAGATGTGATTAGGTAAGGACCTGAGAGGAGGAGTTTATCCTGGTGATCCCAGTGGCCCCATCTAGTCACAAGTGTTCTTATAAGTGACAGAGGAAAGCAGGAGGGTCAGAGAAGGAGGGACGCAATTGCTGGCTGGGAGGCCACAGCCAAGGAAGGGGAGCGTTCTAGAAGAAGATTTTAGGAACTGAAAAAAGCAAGAAACAGATCCCTGCCCTGGCCAGAGTTGCTTAGTGGTTAGAGTGTTGACCCGTGCGTGGAAGGGCGAGTTCAATTCCTGGTCGAGGGCAAGTACCAGAGTTGCAGTTTGCACCCTGCCCCCAGTGGGGGCATGTGCAGGAGGCAACCAATCAATGAATCTCTCTCACATCAATGTTTCTCTCTCTTTCTCTCTTTCCCCCCTCCTCCCTCCTTTCCACTCTTCTCTCTCTCTCTCTCTCTCTGAAAAGCAATGGAAAAAATATCCTTGAGTGAGAATCAACAAACAAAACAAAAAAAGAAAAAATAAATAGATTCCTCCCCTACAGCCTTCACAGCTCTGCTGACACCTAGATTTCAGACCCATTTGGACTCCTGATCTAGAACCATAAACTAATAAATCTGCATTGTTTTAAGTCACTAAGGTCATGGTGATTTGTTATAATGAAAGGCAACTCCTAAAGACACCTGAGAAACTGTGCCTGGACCAGAATGTTCTGCGACCAAGCCCTGTGAGGTGGAGAGGCCAGGCTGACGGGGAGGACTAAGTTCATGCCGGAGTTAGTGAGTCCAGATGTTGGCTGTGGTCATGCTGCACATGGGTGGTGCCTTTCTGGGTTTGATGAGCGCTCCTGGACAACCTGAGACCCGGTGGTTTGTATGTAATGCTGCGCCAGGAGGGAGCCAGAGCTTCAAGAAGTGCTGTTTACCTTCATGCACTGAGTGTTCATCATTCACCAGTGTGCACACGGTGGTCCAGAAGCGTGCACCTCTGACTGCCCTCAGACATGGTGCTACTCTCTCTTCTGTGCCGCAACTATATGGATTCCCTGCACCCATAGAGAATTCCCCCAATAAGTGGCTATATCTGGACCTTAGTAGTTATGTCTGTCAATGCATTCGTGGCTTAGTCTGAAGGGTATGAATCGGAGGTTTTACACTGGTTTGTTATGACCCGGGGATAGAGGTTTCAGAACGCAGATTTCACTCCAATTTAAGTAAAGACTTCTTTAATGGTCTCTAACTATCCATTCTTCTACTTCCATGTAGCAAACCCCATTTTTACAGTCTGAAACACGACCAATTAATGTGTTCTTCCAAAGTTAAGCCAATTACCATGGTGTAAACATTCCCACCACGGCCAATGTCATGGTATCAATGTGATGTTGATGAATGCAGAGTTGGGAAGAGATGTGTACTGTCAGCGCTTACAGGCTGGTAAGAGCTGGTTCCAGCATACACTGTTTATCTCTACCCTTTACCTTCACTTTCTCATTAGGAGAAGGAACACCCCAACAGTAGCAAGGTTGGAATGCTCATGGAGCACTTATGATGGGCCAGGCACTCTTCTAAGAACTTCACATTTAACACATTTAATTCTTGCCCACCCAGTGTGGCTCAGTAATACAGCTTCAACCTATGAACCAGGAGGTCGTGGTTCAATTCCCAGTCAGGACACATGCCTGTGTTGCAGGCTTGATCCCCAGCAGGGAACATGCAAGAGGCAGCCAACCAATGATTCTCTGTCATCATTGATGTATCTATCTCTTCCTCTCCCTTACAGCCCGTGGACTGAAGGGTCCCAGGTTTAATTCTGGTCAAGGGCATGTACCTTGGTTGCAGGCACATCCCCAGTAGGGGGTGTACAAGAGGCAGCTGATTGATGTTTCTCTCTTATCGATGTTTCTAACTCTCTATCCCTCTTCCTTCCTCTCTGTAAAAAATCAATAAAATATTTTTTAATAAATAAATAAATAAAATATTTAATTCTCACAGCAACTCTGTGTGGTGGATAGAAATGAGGAAACTGAAGCATGGGTGGAATTACCAGTCCCAGCTAAGAGCTTGTGATATAAACTTAATCTGCTTCAGTGTCCATATCTTAAAAATTACACTAAATTATCCTCTAAAACTGCACTAATGCAGTAGCCACTAGCCACATTGGCTATTTTAATTGAAATTAAATAAAATTAAAAAATCAATTCCTCACTCATACCAGACACATTTCAAATGCTGGATAGTCTCATGCTGCTAGTGGCTACTGAATTGGGCAACACAGATATAATACATTTCCATCATCACAGGAAGTTCTATAGACAGTGCTGCCCTAAATAGATTGTCAGAAAGAAAGAAGCCACACATATCTGTTTGGAAACAGTGGATTTAATGGCCTTTATTGGCTGTAACATAAAAACTCAAAATACACAGTCCCTATCTCTTCTGCTCTGAGAAGTAAATTCATTTATTCATTCATTCATTCAACACGCATTAACTGAGCACCTCCTATGTTTCAGGACCTGTGCTAGGTTCTGGGGATAGAAAGATGAATAAAGGGACACAGCTCCTGCCCTCCAGGAGCTCACAATCTGATAGAGGAGGCAGACAATTAAACTGCCATAAGGAGAGAGTTATGATGGGAGATTCAAGGGTAATACCAGAGACCCAGGCAGCCAGCTGAATTGAAGGCATTCAGGGAAGGCGTCACAGATGGGGTGATTTCCAAACCGGATGCTGAAAGATGAATAGGAGTCAGCAGCTTTTAGCTATTTTAGGTAGGAAAGTCAGAGAGGCATGGAGAACATGGGTCACTCAGGGACCAGGGAGTGAGTGGGTCTGACTGAAGTCTAGGATGCCACAGAAGCAGACGTCGGGTGTTCTCGGTGGTGTGCTGAGGAGGGATAGATGTTGGGGAGGGGAGATAGGGGGAGAAAGAGAAAGAATTTTATTCTGGATGTGCTGAGTTTGATGTGCCTGCAGAACATTCAAGAGAGTGTGTGGGGCTGGAGCTGAAGAGCAGGGTTGGGAAATACGGGTTTAAGACCATCCAACCAAGGGCCTGGCGAACTCCTGCAGGGAGTGTGTGCAGACTGCGACGAAAATAAAGTGAGAGTGACCACGATGAACAAAACCAACTACGGGAAATGGCACATATCAGGGAACGCGGAGAAACAGGGACAGAGGGAGACTGAGAAACCACATCAGAGCATCAGCACGGGGAAGTGGTGTTCCAGAAATCAGCGCAGGGAGTGTCAACTGATGCAAAGATGCCAAGAATCACAACAACCAAAAAAGGCCCTCTAGAACTGACCTTGGTAAAATCTCTTCTAGTGGCGTTCAGGAAGCCAGCCCGCAATGGCTTCAGGAAGAAATTAAAAGTGAAGGAAAGAAGATGAGCCCTGGCCAGTCTGGCTCAGTGAATAGCCTGTCAGCCTGCGGACCAAAGGGTCCTGGTTTGATTCATATTAAGGGCACATACCTGGCTGTAGGCTCCTCTCCGGCCCTGGCCCTGTTGGGGGCTCGTGCAGGAGGCAACCAATTGGTGTGCTTCTCTCACATCGATATTTCTCTCTGTCTTTCCCTCTTCCACTCTCTCTAAAAATCAATGGGAAAATATCCTCTGGTGAGAATTTTTTTAAAAGAAAAAGAAAGAAAAGAGAAAAGGAGATAACTATGGGAGACAAACCCTTTAAAACTACTCAACGTGAACATTATTACTGCCGATCGCCCCCAGCATGTTCACTGACTGCACTCAAGGAACCAGAAACATGTCAAGGATCCAGGGTGGAGAAGGAGTAATAGGTGAAGCCGGGCCCAAGACAGGGGAGGAAGGAGCCCAGAGCACAGGTGGAGAAGGAGCAGGGGTCCTGTCCACTGGTGTGAGAAGGAGGGGTGGGTGCAGGCATGGCGTGTGTGACTGTAGGAAAAGGAAATTGAGGGAATCCAGGTATATGTGTTTCCAAGTGTCTCCCGCAGCTTCATCCTGAACAGACTTCTCCCATCCTCGTCACCCAAACACTGACTCTCCCAGACCACGGGTGAGACCAGCAGCCCCAGAGACGCCTGCACAGTTGGGGTGAGCAGCCACCTGAGGCTCCAAGCACCTGCCACCCTCAGCTCAGATGTGATCCCCTCCGCGATAGCCCACACTGCGTATACACCACCCACCGGACAGGCCCTCTACTGCTCCCCTCTCTCCGCACAGCTTACATTGCATTGTGATTACACGGCGCTTTCATTGTCTGCTTACATTTTGCCTCCCCAGCTACTCTTGGAACTTCTTTATCTCTAGGGCCTACAAATACTTGTAGGATGAGTTGAGCTATAGGATGAATTAAGTTGAATTAAACAGAGTTGAAATGAACCAACATGACACTGAGGAACCCAGAGCAGTGCATTCCCAGAGCAGCAGGGTTGAGCAATACTCCAACTTCCCCAGCAAGGGTCTCCCCAGAAGCCCACTTCCTCCAGAATGTCTCCCCAATTCCGAGCCTCAGTGCCCGCCCCCCCCACCCGCAACACACACACACACACACACACACACACACACACACACACACTCATTCACACATACACACGCGTGGACTGGTCACCCTGGTCAATGCAGTGGATTTAGGGGACAGCCTGACTCACCACACACGCACACGCACACGCCAGGCAGGTCCTCATTGCTTCTTATGGAACAGAGATGGCGCCGGCTCGCTGCTGGGCTCAGCCATGACCTGCATGGGCTGGTTGTTCAGGGCAGCCTCGCGCATCTTGCGGTACATGAACTCGTTCTGGTGGAACAGGCGCAGCTCCATCTCCGTCTGCATCCGCATGGCCTGTGGGACGCAGACACACCAGGGACAGTGATGACAAGCCCCGGGACATGGTGGCTCTGGCCTCTCTGGGCCCTTTTGGAAAAGGCAGGCAATGGGGTAAATGACTCCCAGTCACCAAGATTCGACGGTGCCCCCTCAGAGGATACCTCCACCGGGGCCTAGGGTCCTGGCTGTGGGTCAGCTTGTTAGGGAGTCAGACCCCTGAGAGTGTAGCTGAGGGGGTTGTTCCCAGGAACCGTCAAGTGGAGATCTAGATTTGAACCCTGGCCCCTACACTGGGTCCCACCTTACGCAAGTAATTGAATCCCTTCAGCCTTTGGTTTCCTCATACATGAAAGGGGTAAGATGCCTTCCTGCTTCCCAATAGACCAGGAAAATGATAGTATGTGACACACACAAGGAAGTTCTCACTTCCCCATGTGTTCTTTTAAGAAATACTTATCGCCCAGCCAGTGTGGCTTAGTGGTTGAGCATCCACCCATGAACCAGGAGGTCATGGTTCAATTCCCAGTCAGGGCACATGCCCAGGTTGCAGGCTCAATCCATGGTAGGGGGTGTGCAGGAGGCAGCGCATCAATGATTTTCTCTCATCATTGATGTTTCTATCTCTCTCTCCCTCCCCCTCTTCCTTCCTCTTTCTGAAATCAATAAAAACATATTTTCTTTAAAAAGCATACTTAACAAGCGCCAGACATCGCTGAGGGGCTAAGGATGCAGCAGTGAATGTGATGGGCAAAATCTCTGCCTTTGACAAGCTTAAATCACTAGACATGAAGTCTGTCTCCTCACACACTTGATGACACCGAGTCTTTCATCTTCCCCACACTGCACTGTCTGAGGACAGCTCCTTGAGCTGGTCACTCTTGAATAATCCAGCCCTTCAAAGCACAGAGGAAACCAGCAGAGGATGAGAGCATGCCATGTGCCAGGCACGGTTCTCAGTGCTGTTCACACATCAAGTCATTGCACCCTCCTTAAAACGCTCTCCTCTTCCTCTGGTTTACCGATGAGGAGACTGAGGCCCACACATGCAATATTTTCAGTTACATGGCTAGAAAGTGGGGAAGCTGGAACTCAGTCCCCACAGTCTGCTTCTAGTCTGTGCTCCCCAGTCCACTCGTTCTGTAATGCACATTTCGTCACGTGCATAGCTACACACACACACACACACACACACACACACACACACACACACACACACACACACGCACGCACGCACACACACCATTATCTAGGTTTTCTCAGTCAAGCTTGGAGCAGCTCAGGTTTCAAGTCTCAGCTTGTCATCCTCCGGCTATTTGACCATGAACAGCTTGCTCCCCTTCTGTGGGCCTCAGTTTCCTCATCTGTAAACAAGGGAAGTGGGCTAAAGCCTTTGTGAGCTCTCTTCAGGTCTCGCAGGCGATCTAGGGACTTTCCCAGAGCAGAGTTCAGAAGTCAGCTCTCATCCTCAGAGAGCTCAGAGCAGGCAGGGGGGCCCAGCGTCAAGGTGCTACTTGCCTCTAAGTCCTTGGTAATTGGGTGGGTGGGTCCGTGTGTCACCAGGAGAATGGCATAGGCTTTGCAGATCATACCGTGCCCCACCTCAATGTTACCAGCATGCCAGTTGGTCAGCCCCGCCCGCATCACGGCCATGCCCAGTTGGGCATTGTTGGGGTGGTAGAGCTTCCTGTAGAGGCAATAAATAATCATAACACATAATCCCAGCCTCCCTTACATTGGCAGAGTATTTGACATGTTATCAAGTGCTCTCATTGAAGTCCTTCTGCTTTCCCACCAGTGCCACCATCTGTAGCCCGCTGGGAGGGGACTGAGGCGCAGGTGGGAGGTGGCTAGAACCCCACACAGGGAAGCTGTAAGAACTGAGACTTTCATCTGAGTCTCCGAGCCACATCCTCTTGGGGAAAGGGAATCAGGATTGTACTCTGAACGTTACTGCGGGAACCTGGGAGCTCTCTGGTGCACCCAGCCTTCTCCTGGGAAAGCAGTAGAAAGGCCAGAGGGAAAAGATGAACAAAAATGTCCTCCTTGATGCAGAATTGCATTTTTCCCTCCACGGCACCTTCTTAACAGAGCTTCCTTTTAACATGGTATATAGTTTTCCCACATTTTATTTATGAGTAACATCCTCCCCCCAAAAATGAACCTTCTTGTGCCAATGTGGTCATGTAGCCAGATACACAAATGCACATGCCACTGTGAACAGGGAGGACATCGGCAGAGGGAAGGCAAGGACATTCTATTTTATACTTTACAATTTTAATGAACGAAAGCTCACAGGATTTTCTGTGTTGGTTGTTAGGGTGGACCCTTTCCAAACACTTAAAATCCAGCTGGACTTGGCCATCAGGAAATCAGAAGCCACCAGCAGACAATAGATGCGCTGCAGGATTCGGGAAAGACCGGGGATGACAAATAGGTTTCACGTTAGGTACCAACTCTGAGTGTTTGGTCATTATTACTAGGAGCACCATGATTAAAAGGCTCCATTGTAAAGAGCCCCAATTACTGCTGCTTGCTGTGGGTTCAGGAGGGAGAGGTAGCAGCATGCGTGCCCTCTATTTGTCCTGCCTGGAGTAGACACCTTTCCAGATGATCTGACACCCAGGATTGTCACCTACACATAGCCATCCACCATCCTCCTGGCGTAGTAGGAGGCCTCCTCGAACGCCTGGAGGTAGGAGAGGACCTCGGAAACGATGCTCAGCACCCTCAGCATGTAGATGTTGGTGTCAGCAAACACGGAGTCCTGCTTCTCCAGGCACTCCCGGCACAACTTCACAACCTGGAAGAGACGCAGGCCCGGTCCGTGACCAACGCGCCATGGCACGTGCTTAATTCACATACGGGAGCCGCACAATGACATTGGACACTCCTTTGAAAGTTGAGATTGCTCACAATCTGTGATTTGAATAGCAAAATGGTCTTATTTGGGTAAGATGTAGAGATGAAAAGGGAATGGCAACACGAGAAGTTTCCATATATGAGTCAGTTGGGAGCAGGCAGTTAGGAAAGATGCATATATATATATATATATATATATATATATGCATAATATTTTCATGCTCTGCCACAGAGGAAAGATTTTCAAGTTTCCATATATGAGTCAGTTGGGAGCAGGCAGTTAGGAAAGATGCATATATATATATATATATATATATATATATATATATCTTTATATATCTTACAACAGTGCAATGAGATAAGTACTACGAATATTCCCATTTTACCAGGTTCTCTGCTCCTACAACTCTCTACTCTGGCTGTGCTCTAGATGAACCTAGAGACCTTTTTAAGAACATCGATGTCTGGGCCTTACCCTCAGACCCATTGAAACCAAATACATGGGGGAGGGACCCTGGCCTCTGAAGTTTGCATAAGCCCCTGGTGGTCCTTATGCACAGTGGGGGCGAACAATCAGGCTGTCCTGCTTGAAGTGTTCAGGATGGGTGGGCAGAGAGGGAGGTTCCTGGGAAGCTGGAAGACCCATCAGGAGATCGCCCCATTGGCCCTGGCGAGAAGTAAGATGGGCCTGACCCCAATCAGCTTGGAGTCAGGCGTTTCCAATTGATTCGCGTGCAGACATAGGCTTGGGTTGCACTCCACAGAGTCCGATAGTCCTTAGACTGGGGTTGTGCACTGTTCTCTTCTCGTTCCCTTGCCACCCTCATGGAGAAGTGCAGCACACTTCTTCCCATTTTAAGTGAATGGAAACTAACTTTGCTCTGAGACTCTCCCAGAGGCCCATGAGGCAACTGGGTGGTGGTGGGGCAACATATGGGCTAGCATTAATCCATGCTGAAGGCAGCTCCCTTAAACCCGTGGGCAGAGTCCAGCCCTACAGCTGCCCTGGCAATTTTGAATAGAGAAAAGGAGAAATGAAGAAGAAGAAGAGAGAAGCCAAAGGAATGGAGCGAGTAGAGCCCTCCTGATTGCTCTGGCTCCATTACTGTGTCTCTGACATACACTTCCCATATTGTTCAATAACACTTTGTTCATGTGACCGCCTCCCCTGCCTAACAGAACTCCTGGGAGTGAAGGAGCATTTCTTGTGTGGATCACCCCAGAAAGGCCTCAAAAAGGGGCAATGAATGAGTGAGTACAAGATGAAAATGAAGACCAGATACACACCTGAGTTGCTTAAAGAGCCTGGAAAAAAATATGGATTTATGGTCCCTGTGCTCTGTTGCAGATAAATTATATCTTAGGGGATGAGCACAGGAATCTGTTTCCAAGAAGCTGTCTGGGTGAGTCCAATGCAAGTGCTCTGCGGGTCAGTATTTGGCAGTGGGTCTCAACTTTAGATGCACTTTGAAACCACGTTCGAGCCTTAAAAATCCTGATGTCCGGGTCCCACCCCAAGATATTCTAGTAAAATTGTCCTGGGTGAGGATCTGAGCAGTAGGATTTTTCAGTGATTATAGTCTTCAGCCAGCTGAGGACTCCTGGTGCCCTGAGAGCCCGGGCTGGAGGCTCAGTTACTGGAGCCTGGAAACTATCTCCAGGACATGCATTTAATCATGGAAAAGCGAGCAACCCACTACCACCCCCATTTCTCCATTTCTGGTGCCAACTTGTAATACCACAACCCCCCAGGGACATTTGTCAGGCTGCCAGAGTTCTTCCCAGACCCAGTTTCAGCGGGTTGAACAGTCCCTGAGAACACATCCCTAAGAAGTGCTGAAAGCTTGAGGGCAAAAGGAGCCCTGATCTCAACAAAAGGACATCTTCAGAAAAACAACCTGCTTGGTAGCCTCCCCATCTTCAGCCCACCCCATTTCCCTCCCTTTCTGCCCTCCTCCCCACCCCTATCCACCATAAAAATGAATTCTTACCTCGTGGTACAAGCCCTCAGAGCGAGCCTTGTCAATCTTTTCTAGTGTATCCTTGGAGAATTGTATAATCTCCTTGACCACATCCTGAGAGGGCTGGGAGAAGGAGGGACACTGAGTTACAGCTTCGCATAGTCGCATCTTTGACATTCAACGTAGTACAAAAGTAATGCCTTCCTCCTTCTTTTTAAAAAAATGTTTTTATTGATTTCAGAGAGAGGAAGGGAGAAACATCAGTGATGAGAGAGAATCATCCATCAGCTGCCTCCTGTACACCCCCTACAGGGGATCGCGCTTGCAACCTCAGCTTGTGCCCTGACTGGGAAATCAAACCGTGACCTCCTGGTTCATGAGTGGACCCTCAACCACTGAGCCACACCGGCCAGGCACCTTCCTCGCTCCGAATGCTTCACTTCTATAAATGCTGAGAAAGATCCCTACAGCTTTTCCAGCTCCCTCATCATGCTTCTGACTCATGCTGTCCTTTCCATTGACCAAGTCCCAGAGCCTTGCTGCAGCCAATCATTCCTGCCCTGTGCTCATGCCGGGGCTTTGGACCCCGTGCAGAATCTGACATTGACCCCTGTTGTATTTCTCTGGCATTTTGGATTCTTATTTTTTGATGATAAATATTAATGATAGATATTTTATCATCCAAAATATTTTCCACTTTTCCTTTGTACTTCAAGTCAACCATGTATACTAAAGATATCCCCTTGTTTGTTTGTTTGTTTTTTGTCTTTGCCCAAGTCATTGATTTAGATACTGGCCAGCACGGAGCTGAAGCAGAGGCTGAGGACTTGACTAAAACTTGGTGCTCCAGTTTGCCGTCGGAGTTCATGAAAGATAGCCTTTGTGGCTATGGGTATCCAAACCCGTCCAGTGTCTTAGCACCCAGTTCATGTTTCCTTGTTTTCACCAAAAACATATTATGGGAGACTTTGTCAGCTGTCTCCGTGAAACAGCGGCTCTCAACCCCTTTGGGGGACGAACGACCCTTTCACAGGGGTCCCCTAAGACCATCGGAAAACACACATATAATTACATATTGTTTTTGTGACTAATCACTATGCTTTAATTATATTCAATTTGTAACAATGAAAATACATCCTGCATATCAGATATTTACATGACGATTCATAACAGTAGCAACATTACAGTTATGAAGTAGCAACGAAAATAATTATATGGTTGGGGGTCACCACAACATGAGGAACTGTATTAAAGGGTCGCAGCATTAGGAAGGCTGAGAACCACTGCCATGAAATGTAGGCTTACTGCATTTGCCTGAGCAGTCTAGTGATATTGTAAAAAAAAAAAAAAAATTAGGAAAAGTTTATTGGCTATGCTTATCCATAGTATAAGCTCTTTTCTGATTTTTTTTTTTCCTTAGGCAAATCTGATAAAGCTTTTTTCCGAAATAAAAATAACTTTATTGTTCATTCTTACTATAAATAGGCACGTGGAAGCTGTAAAAAAATTAAAACATATGAAAAAAGTAGAAATCCCCAGAACCTACCCAAAGATGGACACAGCATTCTGAAGAACGTCCGTGTATATATATATATAACTATTTTGTAACTACCAATTTGTAGTTCTTAATCCTCTCACCTTTTTCACCCATCCCCCAAACCCTCTCCCTCTGGCAACAGTTAGTCTCTTCTCTGTATTTATAGGTCTGTTCCAATGTTGTTTGTTTATTTACCTGGTTCATTAGATTCCACATAGAAGTGGCACCATATGGTATTTGTCTTTTTCTGACCTATTTCACTTAGCATAACATCCTCTAGGTCCACCCACGCTGACTGAAATGATAAGATTTCATTCTTTTTCCTGGCTGAGTAATATTCCATCGTGTATATGTACCACTGCTGGCAGGCCTCACGGGGCAAGCTGCCCTCCACCCCTGACTTGGTGCACAGTCTCTGAAGGGTGTTGCAGTCCAGCGCTCAGGCCCTGCTGGCTGCTCCTGTTGACGGAATATTTGCATTCCTAGCCCAGGCTCCTTTATTCCTCGGTCTCTTCTCCTGAGGCCTTGGGCTGAGATCTTCTTTAGGCACTTCTGCCACCGAGGCCTCCTTACTGGGGAGGGGTGGGGAGACTTGCAGACACTTCCCTACTCTGACTCCGTGCCCAGTGCTTTTCCTCTCCTAGCCCTTTCCCCATGCCCTCTCCCCAGGCCCCTCATCTCAGGGTCTACAAGCCCTTTATTCTGGGTCCCTCAGAAGGGAAAGGACCCCTACATCTGTGCTTACCCATCTGACCCTCCACCAATGTACCTTCCCACAGGGGCTAAGGAAGCAGGGGGAGTGGCGCTGCCCCAGCGCAGCCTCCAGCTTTCCCACTGCAGGAAGTGATGGAGGGCATGCTGCTTTCATCGGCCGCTCCAGCACCTGCAGCTCCACCTTCTCCCAGCTCCGCTGAGCTCCTGATATGCCCCTCAGTAAGCCTCCCTGCTGCTCAGGGGTCCCACCATCCATTTGGCAACAGCTCCTTGGGACTTAGGCAAATTATCCAATCTAAACAGTGCCCGATCTCCACACTGCCCATTTCCATGGGACTGGGAAAATCTTTGTGATAACCAGACAATGAATCTCTGCCCATCTGGTCTCAATATGTATAATTCCAAGCATTATTTAAATGGCAAAGGGGCAAGGAGATGACTAATTACTGTGTGTCTACTCTCCATGCCACACCCTTTACATATGTACTTTTGTTTAATGCTCAGAACAACCCCTTATCATGGTTGCCATCATTCCTATTTTATAGATGAGAAAACGGCATAATATCCCCAAACTCAAACACCTTGCATGTGACAGTGTCTAGACACTAGCTGGGACCTACAGGCAGTGCACTGTCCCCCACCCATACAGCCTTCCCTGGTCCTCTGGGAACTACCGAGCAGGGTACATTGATTCCCTGTGGGATCCCCATGCCTGGCTCCTGTGGAGGCGGCACAAACACCCCCCAGTAGGGCTGCGTGTACCTTTGGGTCATCTTTCACCCCCAGGAAGAGGTCGTCCTTCAGCCCTTTCTGGCAATGCTCGCACGTGCAGTCGAAGTAGTACTGCTTCTTCAGCTGCTTCTTGCGTTCTTCGCTGACGTTAAGGAAGTCGATGTAGGACACGGTCAGCTCTTCTCCTTCTGAGATCTTGCCCAGGGCCCGGAGCTCAATCCTGGAGCAGGGGCGAAGGAAAAGAGTAAATCAAGTCCCCAGCTTCAGGGCGGCACCTGTGCTCTTCCGGTTTTAAGGAGTTGAGTCTCAAAGACAATGACTCCCACTAGCACGTGAGGAAACTCCCATTCCCAACAAAATTAGAGAAGATGTGGCCTAACGGACAGTTTTCTGAGTAATTCTGCTCTACTTATTATCATAATCAAATCTGCTTCATTCCGTAAATCGCCCTGAGATCTGCTCAAATAGATTCCAGGGAGAGGACCAGCCTTGGTCTTAAAACCACATATTGCTTCCATGCCCACAAACATCCCTGTCCATTCAGCTACTGGTTGTTGACAAAGAAAGGGAGAAATAATAATAAGGTGAAAACTCAAACAAGAGAAGACTCAAGACATTCAGTGGTCATCCATCTTGGCCTATTCTGTGAGGGACTGTAAGTCCCCTCTTAGCTCAACCAGTGGTTGAGGAGACTTATTCAGCAAACAGAGGCTGGCTCTATTAGTCCTATGCACTGTTCACTTTTGTGTTTACTGGGGGACAGGGCTTTGTGGTCGAAGGTGGTTAGCAAGAGCAGATGGCATTTCAGCTCCCTTCCAGCCTAGACCTGACCCTCCAATGACCTACAGCACAGCCCACTCTGCCATGTAATAGATGCAGAATATGCTGAAAACAAAAGCCCCTGGTGAAACTGACACCCAGGTTAGCCAACCACGCAGAGATCAGCCTGTGGGCCTCTCAGCCATGCACCAGGCCAGAAGCTACAGAAAACAAGTGGTGAGCCCTGAGCTGTGCTCCTGTGTCTCCCCAGGATCCTGGGGCCTCACCGCCCAGTAGAAACGATCCCCCAGAGAGTGAGTGGCAGGTTGCAGAGGCTGGGCAGAGCATCTGCAGAGAGGTCCATGATCATTTCTTTTACCTCCCAGAGCGGCTGTCAGGCACCATGTGAAAGGCCAGGACACAATGTCAGCACCACAGAAGGGTCCCAGCCAGAGGCATTCCCTTCGTGCTCCAAAGTGACAATCAAGCAGGCAGCTACTGAACGGCAGTGACATGCATGTCCAAGTGTCAGAGGTGACATGCCTTCTCTCAAAGTGGAGTCCACTGACATGCCAAATAAATGTGACACTCTATATAAAAACAACGCAAATGGCACCTGCCAAGATGTAAGCTCCCCTTCACCTCCTGTTCCTTCTTCCCTTTCTTCCCACCCCAATTTTTGGCAGCAGCTGTTACTGATGTGATGAAAGGCAAGAGGGAGGGGAGGGCCCAGGGATTCTACTCCGAGGTCTGCTTGGAATCCTAGTATGTCCAACCTGTGGGGAATCCATCTTCTCAGTTCACAAATGAGGGCACTGATACCCAGACAAATGAAGTAACATCCCCAAATGTCCTACACACTTTGGCCACAGAGTCAAGATTAGAACTCAAGTGCCATTCACACCTCACCGCATCGTATTGGCCTGATGGGGTTCAGTCGGCCTCCTGAGCCTGCAATGCATGGGAAGTGAGGTGCACCAAAGCCCTCAATTCTAGGACTCTGATAACGTCCTAAGTAGGTCCATGAGAGCAACTTTAGAGCCAAGGTTGAGTGTGGATCTTTGGCATTTGGTCCTGGTTGGGTAAGTAAACTGCTAACCCCACCCGCCCCTTTTACAGTGGCAGTTCACCATAGTAACATATCCCCATTCAACAGTAATTCAATGGTCAATAAGTTAGGATTTCCAATAGCTTTACTTTCCATCATGGCTAAGCCAGTTCATACAAGGTTTCAGAGTGTCTCAAATTATTTCAATGCTATTAGTGAATTTTCAAAACCAAATTAATTTAATGTCACTTAAATATGAAAAATGCATACCCCATTTACTAACTGGGAATCGGAAATCAGGGAATGAATAGTGATTACTGCTCCATTCTGGACCCCAGAGCTCTCCCATCTGTAATGCTCTGCAATTTTATAGTTCAGTCAATTGAGCCACAAGTAGGCAAGTAATTTAAGTGTTTTTTAGAGGTTTGGAAGGTCCCTAGAGATGCTCTCATCTTGACCTTTGCTCTATGGATGTGGAACAAAATGCCCAGGAGATGATGTGAATCATTCAAAGCCACGTGCAATGCATGCCAACACAGTCTCAGGTGCACAAACCACTCCTCCCCTGCATTCCCAAAGCCCGAACCCCCTGCAGCATTTTGTTCTCAATCCAAAGAGCATTTCAAGTACTTTTAAGCCCCATTTGAGCAAAAGGCCCATCTGGGACGTTTTGGTTGTGATTAAGAAAAGTCAAGAGTAAAATCTAATCTAAACCACAAATTCATAGCTGGCCAGAGCAGTAAACAGAATGCTATGAATAAATATTTATCAAAATATCACAGTTATGGGTGCGATTTTCAGAACCCAGTCTGGGTGAGAGGTTGGGGGTTATAAGCAAACACATAGTCCTTTAGTAGGTCAGTAGTATCAGCAGTCCTCACTTCATGGCAAGCAGGGTTTAGAGGGGAAAACCTGGGTTTTTGCCAAGATGATGTGGACCAGAAGAGACAGGCACGCTTTGAGGTTGGAGGAACGAAAGAAGGAGTGAAAGAGGAGAAAGGAAGAAAACAAAGTAGCCCTGGCCGGTGTGGCTCAGTTGGTTGAGCGTTGTCCCATACACAAAAAGGCTGACAGTTCAATTCCCGGTCAGGGCAGGTGCCTAGATTGCAGGCTCAATCCCCAGTAGGGGGAGTGCAGGAGGCAGTCTGTCACATTGATGTTCCTCTTTCTCTCTCCCTTCCTCTCTCTCTAAAATCAATAAAAACATTTTTTTAAAAAAAAAGGAAAACAAAGGCATGTCAGGTAGTGGGTGAGTAAAGAACAAAATGATTGCATGCATTAAGAATAGCCCTGGCCGGCGCTCAGTGGTTAGAGCGTAGGCCCAAGCACCAAAGGGTCTCAGATTTGATTCCCAAACCCAGTTGGGGTGCGTGGGGGAGGCAACCAATCTATGTGTCTCTCTCACATCGATGTTTCTCTCTCTCTCTTCTCTGTCTCTCCACCTTCCCTCCCTCCTTTTCACTCTCTCTCTGAAAAAGCAATGGAAAAAATATCCTCGGGTGAGGATTAACAAAAAAAAAAATTTTTTTTTAAAAGAACAAAAAATACAGCATTCAAAAAAGAAGGACATACAGACAGACAGCAGCCACAGAATCTTGGGAAGGGGCATCTTGGGAACCGGGTAAGTGAGGGAGGTGGGTCAGAGGAGCAGGGAAGTTTGCAAGAACTGACCCACCTCATCTGGGTGTGAAACATGGATTTCACTGCCTCATGACTGAAAGACAAAACAGACACCCAAATGGAAATCATTACCATTGACTGACCCCGCGCAGCTAGCAAACGTGCACAGTATTTCAGATGCAATCAGAGCTTTGGCCATGACAACGACCATAACAACGACCTCTAGCCCAGCCCCTGTAGCCCAGTCCCTGAAGGCCAGCCCCTGTAGCTGGGCTCACTTGACAAGGTGTGCCTGGTATATAGTGGGGCCTTGACTTACGAGTTTAATTCGTTCCGAGACCGAGCTCGTTAAGGAGCTCGTTAACTCAAATTACTCTATCAACTCAATGCAAAAAATTGGCTGAGAGACAGCTGGTATCTCAAAAAACTCGTTAGTGGGGACACTCCTAAGTCAAGGCCCCACTGTAGTGGAAATTTCACTGGGTTTGGAATGAGAGGTTCTGAGTTCAAAAGTACACAGCCCTGGACAAGTGACTTCCCTTCCCAGGCCTCAGTGTTCTCATCTATAACCCGGCAATAAGACTCATGAGACAATGAATTTAAAAGTAGAGTACTTTTTAAAAAAATGTATGGAAAGCGTATTATCCCACTAACAAGAACCTTGGACAAGTAAGTGTTGCCTCTTTTGATGTCTATCTCATGGAGAGTTGGAGCCGTATATGGAGGCTGGGTAAGTCACACAGGTGGTAGATAAAATGATTGGGGTGTGAATTGGGCTCCTGACATCATGACCAGTGTTCTTTCCACGATGGCAGGCAGCTAGACAGTGACCGAAAAGTCACCTTCTCTTGGACAACAACCAAGAAGCCCCGGGTAAAACATGGCTGCTCCAAATGAGTGGCTGCATAGAAGCCCGAGCAGACACTGGAGCTGATCTGGAAAAAGGGTTCCGGGTTCCTGTGGCAGTTACATGCAGCGAAAAGAAGAACCTGGGTCACCATTGCTTAGTGAAAGGGGTTCAAGAAAGACCAGCCCTGTACGTGAGTGAATTTGACCCTCTCTACCAACCAGGCTAGCCCTGGACAACAGCTCATCTGGGGAGGAGTCCATGAAGTGACCCCAAGAGGCATAGGAAGGGAAATACAAATGCTGTGAAAAAGATTATCATCTGGCCCTGACCGGTTTGGCTCAGCGGATAGAGCATCGGCCTGCGGACTCAGGGTCCCAAGTTCAATTCTGGTCAGGGGCATGTACCTTGGTTGCGGGCACATCCCCAGTGAGGAGTGTGCAGGAGGCAGCTGATCGATGTTTCTCTCTCGTCGATGTTTCTAACTCTCTATCCCTCTCCCTTCCTCTCTGTGAAAAATCAATAAAATATATTATAAAAAAAAAAAAGATTATCATCTGGATCCAAAATAAACTTCCCTGTCTTGAGTGACTTTCTCAGTTGTTTAAGAGCCTGGTGTCATGTGGGCCCTTGCTTCCAGAAATAGGAAGGAAAAGGGGAACTAGAGTCCCCGCTATATTGGAGCTTAAGCTTGAATCTTGGCTAAGAACCGAAACCATTGTCTTTCTTTTCCAGGAAGTTTTGGGGGGAAACTTGCTCATTGTTGATAACTCAGTCAACCTGTATCCGCCATATGAGCTTGTCTCTAAGAGCAAAAGCAATATTGCTCAGGCCTCGTTCTCAAAATCCCCCCAGCCTGAGCCAGGGACAACCGGGGTTCACCCTCTTTGCTGACTCTTCTCCATTTGTGCCCCACCCCCAAATTCCCTTCTGTCCCCTCTGTGCCTTATTTGCGGGAGGGCACTAACTGACCTCTGAGGACTTCATCCCTTTGCCCTCTGGCTTCTGGTTGGGGTTTGGCCAATGGGAAGAGATCAGAAGACGGGAGGAGAGTGGTTGGGCTGTTACGTCTCCTGGCTGCTTCTCTGCCTGACCGTGGTTCTAGCAGTGGCTGGTTTCTCTACAGGCACAGCCACGCTGTTGGAAGGGCCTCTCCCGTGGCTGTGGCTCTCAGCAAGCACAAAAACAGTACTTCTTCCACTCGCCCTTCCACGCTAGAGACGATCGTGGTTTCGTGCTGTAGCTAGACCCTGGACGCCTCACCATTCTTAGTTGCTTAAATGCTACTCGCACTTCTAAGTTCTCTTCAGATTAACTCTGACTGTGCCTTTAGATTTCTGCTGGGACCTTGACGGACATATGCTTCTCAGTTGATGTTTTGTAATGACCTCAAGGCATCAAGTTTTAAAATAGTAGTTAGAGGTTTATCTGACATATCTAGGCAACCTCAAGAAACATACAGAGACTGAGAAATCACCCATGTGGAGTTCTCTGCTATCCTCCCCATTACCTTTCTCCTAACCACAAACATTCTACACTGAAATTTCTTTTTCTTTCCCATTTGAAAACCATGTTAGTTCATGAACCTTAGGCTGAAGTCAAGTGGCGTGAACACCATGAGGTCTCTCCCCCACCCCAATCACAGCACCCTCAGTGAAAGACCTACTCACTTGCCGTTGTTAAAGATGACGGTGCAGTTGGGCCAACAGTCATGGTTCACCAGGCCCAGGTTGGGGAAGATGCCCACGCCCACTGCCTGCAGGCCCCTCTGGTCACTGAGTGTGAAACCATTGCAGTTAATCTACCCAGAGGAAAAGATAAAGAGTCAGCTAACACACACAGACTGGGGACCCAACACCACCCTCGCTGCTGAAAGGTGTTTTTTAAAAAGTAGAAAACCAGTCTCATCCTGGAAATGCTTAGAGTCTGGAAACAAAAGGGTCTCTGCTCTCTGTGTGATTTTAAATGACCCTCTAAATTAGTATCAGGGGAGACGCCCATGTTTGCTAAAATGCAGCACTGCCTTGAACGTTTTGTAATAAAATGTACATTTGCATGTGCATATTGATATGTACGGCACATGGCTATTTGCTATAGAATTGGAGGACTGTCACTTTCTCCATTCAATCTCATCAGTCATTCAGCAAATACATGAAGTTAAGCCTGTCAGGACTAACAAGCTGTGTTACCTTAGTCAAATCTCTTTCTTCTCTGAGCCCCATTTTCCCATCTGTAGGTTGAGAGAGTTGGACCAGGTGATCTCGACGGTCCTTTTAGCTCTGCACTTTGGTAATTATGCCATCCTGTAGCTGCAGTCCCAGGCCCCTGGGGTTACCCAGGATGGTCTATGACACCCAAACCTGTGGAGCCCAAGTGCTAAGAGTAGCAACTTCAGCACCAGGCAGGCTGCTCTAGCCCTTCCACGGACACCAGCTCACTGTGTGGCCTGTGGAAGTCATGTAAATCTCTCTGGGCCTAGGCTTTCTGTTCATAAAATAAGAATGTTAAAAGCATGACTTTCACCTTGGGTTGTAAAACTTGCATAAAATAATACATGGGAAGCTATGATAGTTAATTTTATATGTCAACTTGGCTGGGCTGCGGTGCCCACATATTTGGTCAAACATTATTCTGTGTTTCTGTGAAGGTGTTTTTTGGGTAGATTAGCATTTAAATCATTAGATTTGGAATAAAGCAAATTATCCTGCACAACATAGGTGGCCTCACGTGATCAGTTAACAAACTTAATAGAACAAAGACTGACTTCCCCTGAGCAGGAAGGAATTCTGCCAGCAGTCGGCCTCTGGACTCGAACCACAACTCTTTTTGGGGGTGTCCTGCCTGCAGGCTTATCGGCAGATTTTGAATTTACACTCTACAATCTCAGGAGCGAATTCATTAAAATAAATCATCTCTGTCAATAGGTAGATGATTGATATAGATAGATGATAGATAGATGACTGTTTCTCTGGGGAACTCTGACATTACAGAGGCACTGGCACCTGGTAACAACTAGAGATGTTGGTTCTGATCCTGCTGTTGTTATTATGGCAATAACCTCCCTCTTCAGCCCGCTCACCAACCCCACAGAAGGGGCTGGGCCTGCCAGAAAGAAGACATCTATCCCCACAGCCCAAGGCCTGGTGACCCTCCGGACTCCCACCCCCACCTCCTGGACCCTCAGGGCTGCGAGAGAGAGAGAGGCCCTTACTCTCCTCTCTCCGGCTTCCACACCCACTACTCCCGTTACTCTTCCCCTCAGACCTCAGAAAAGGAAGGGCCTTATTTTCAAGGTGACTAATAGGCAAGAAGGGATGGTAATTGGGTCTTTGTTTTCAAAGCGGGAAGGAGAGAATATAGGACATGCAGATAAACAAGGAGGTAAAATAACATCCAAATCTGCCATTCAGAGATAATGGAAACTCTTGTTGGGATGCCAACGTCAGATGGGGCAGGAATGACCTCACAGGAAGCAAGACCAGAAGGACAGAGGACAGGGTGACAGTTGTTCATTCTAGGGCTCTGTCTCCCTCCAGTTCTTCTCTTGGCCCTTCCTCCCCACTCTGGCCTGGCAGCATCTGAAAACATATTCGGTGGACAAGCCCAGCTGTCACCCACCCCCACCCCCACTTCATGGGAAGCCGTACCACGCCGAAGATGTGGGAGATGTACTGCATGCTGAACTGCTGGCTCTGGGGCAGCCAGTACTGCAAGAAAGTATCCACGTCCACCCGCAGCTGCTTCTGCTCCTCCTCCCCGAAGTTCTCCACGTGGTTCTGCAGGTCGTCCACGGACACCAGGCAGCCCTCCGTGAGCCCGGTGCCCTCTCTCTCCACCCGCCACATGATGCGTGCAGCCAGCCTGCGGAGAAGGGCCGGGTTAGGGAGACCCACTGCTTCCATTCATTCAACAAGCACGTACTGAGTGCCTAATGCATGCCAGGCACAGTGCCAGGCCCAAGACAGTTTTGAACTAGACAAAATTTCTTCTAACATGAAGTTTCTTATAGTGGGGGAGACAAAAGTTTAAAAGATCATTAAACTAGTGTTAAATGCTGTGCAGAAAATAGAATCAGGTAACATGATAGAAAGTGGCAGGGGGCGGCCCTAACCAGTTTGGCTCAGTGGCTAGAGCGTCGGCCTGCGGACTGAATGGTCCAGGATTTGATTCCGGTCAAGGGCACATGCCTGGGTTGCTGGCCCAAACCCCAGTGTGGGGCCGGCAGGATGCAGCCAATCAATGATTCTCTCATCATTGATGTTTCTCTCTCTCTCTCTCCCTCTCCCTTTCTCTCTGAAAATCAATAAAAATATCTTTAAAAAAAAAAAAAGCCAAAACCGGTTTGGCTCAGTGGATAGAGCGTCGGCCTGCGGACTGAGGGGTCCCAGGTTCAATTCCGGTCGGGGGCATGTACCTGGGTTGTGGGCACATCCCCAGTAAGAGATGTGCAGGAGGCGGCTGATCGATGTTTCTCTCTCATCAATGTTTCTGACTATCTCTCTCCCTTCCTCTCTGTAAAAAATCGATAAAATATATTTTTTTTAAAAAAAGAAAGAAAGTGTCAGGGGGTGGAGGAGAAGACAAGGGGACCCGGGGAGGTGGCAGGGTGAGGCACACTCGAGCTGAACGGAAGGAGCCAGCTCTGTGTGCAATGGGGAAAGAGCAGTGAGTACAAAGGCTCTGAAGGAGGAATGAGCTTGGCATGAAGAAGAAACAGCAAGAAGACCAAGGAGGCTGCAGCACAGGGCGTGAGGAGTGGAAAACAAATAACGGTGGAGAGGGGGGCAGAAGCCAGGTTATGTGGGTCTAGCAGAGCCTGCATGGGGTCTGGGGACACCATGAGGTATGGCAGCCTGGGTCTCTCCTGGCAGTATGGCTACTGCGATGAGCACTGGCGAAGGAGCCTAATGACCTGGGTTCAAGTCTGTTTCTGCTTCTTCCCGTGTGACCCTGGGCAAGTCATTTGACCTCCCTGAACCTTTCCAATGACCAGTAAAATGAGGATAACATATATTCCCTGTCATGCTAACCTCCAGAGGCATTTGGGAGATCTTTGTGTGTAAACTTATTTATATTCTTAATGACTGGATAAAGAGAAGGTGAAGAAGACAATCTAGGTGGAGAGACAGTATAAGCAAAGGCCTGGATGCAGCCAAGAGCATGGC